TCTTTATAATTACTCATTCCTGCATGTTAACCTGTCATATGCATTTTTGAAAAAACACAATGGTTTGTATTTTTTAAAAATGTTAGAAAATATGAAAATCTTCCAAAGGCATTGAAAATGGAACACGTTAAATGTTTATAATGTATAATCTCTGTTTCTGGTAAAATAATTAGATACTATTCATTAACAGTGTGACTTTACAATCACATCCAGAAATTATATTTTGAAAGCTAAGTAAAGAAAAACCTAAAATAAAAGAAAAATGACAACAATACTAGTGAATTTAGAAATTCTCTCTTTAATAGGAAGTTGAAATCCAGACAAAACTCTCAAAACACCAGAACAAGCGATCATTTTACTACAGAAATTATCAATAGTGGAAGAAAACTATAGAAATATAGTGTACAGATCTGTCCATATTCATGTCTACATTTCATCATAAAAAATAAAACCAAGTACAAAACATTCCATTTTCATTTGAGGATCAGAAAATAAAAGCACAACATTTTCTGGAAGCTCAAGAGACTTCCTGGCTTTCAGGGTAAGTCTTCTGGTAGAGTTCTACCATGGAATCCAGATCAAACCCAACGTCGTAGTTTATGTTGAAAAGGGCCAGGCTTTTTGACTTGACGTTGTCAGGCATATTGTCTATGTACATCCGGTAACGCTTGAACGCCACATCGGAACTGTCCTCCAGAGGCAGCGTGGGTAGGATGCTGAGTAGTCTCAGAGCTGTCATCACGTTGGGGAAGAACTTGACATCGGCCAGCTCCAGCGTGTCATGGAGGCTGGAGGGAAATGTCTCGCCTTTGCCTTTCTTGCTCCATTTGACCCACCAGCAGTGCAGCTCAGCGGAGAGACTTCCTGCATTTGGGATGTCGTCGCTGAACACCTGAACGCTCTCCTCGTCCGGCTGAGTGGACTTCTTCCCCTCTATGATGTCTGGGATCAGACACATACACCCTAAGACCTTGATGTGATCCTGAGAGAAGAGATCATTCATTTCGCCGATGACGTGCTTCACTGCAGGAACCGTCACATGCTCCTTGTAGTAGTCATCCTCCTGAGTGCTTCCTTGTTCTCCCTGACGCTTCCTCAAGAAGAACCGAGGAACCTTGACAGGGATCTCCATGGCTGCCGCTAGGTTGACGGCTTCGTCGTAGAAAAAGTCGTGATAGACGTCGATATTATCGGACATTTCCTTCAGGGACTGCAGCACAGCGGTCAAGCTGGCTGTAGCTGAATGGATGTCCACTGCTTTCCCTTGGAGATTTTTGCCAAATGCCTGGATGAGCACCATCACGTTTTTCAGCACAATTAATGCCATGATGAACTCAAAGTCAGTTAAGGCTTTGGAGATCTCTAAAGCACTGTGGGTGACTTGGTCATTCCACCTCATGTCTTCGTTGTCATGAACGCTGTCCACACAGAGCAAGAGTGCCTCTATGACATCCAGTGCCACCTCAAAGCCATCATTCCTTCTGGTCCAGCTGGTCTGGCATATCTTCTTCAGCTCCTCAGCTTTGTCCTCTTTGTCTGGGTAGAAGATGGAAATCGCATGCTCAAACTCCACCTGCAGTAATGGTGACTGAGAGAAAAACAATTCGATCTGCTTAAAGGTGGACAGAACAAGCTGAACTCCTGACATACCCATACTGTTGGCCAGAGACAGGGTCAAGGGATTAGTGGACCTAAATGTCAGTATGGCCTTGGGGTACTTCTCAACCAATTTGGAAGCAAATGCTTTAATTTTTCTCGAGTGGGTCCCAGAGCAGGCATGGGCTTGCGCTCTACACTGGCTCATATCTAAACCCCATCGATCGGTCATATCAGATAGTAGTTTTTCTGCCAGGTCATTTTCATCTCCTTCAAACGTCAAGAACCCCGCAAACTTCTCCTGATGACTTTTCAACTGGTCCACATAACGAAGGAACACCGGAAGACACCACTCTCCTGAGATCTTCACTGGTTCGTTGGTGAGCAGTGAGAAAAAGCCGTTTTGCTTGACTCCCTCGACCACCTTACTGCGCACATACTGCTCACAAACCGTCAACAGCTTGTCGAGTTCGTCGGAAAAGCAGTTTTGCCTTGATGAATCAAACTTGTTCTTTAATACTTCATCTCCACAGTTCAGGCGGTATTCCAGCAACGCCTGGAAGTTACAGGACTTGAAGCCGTCATCTTTCCCATTACATGGTGCAAATGGCGGAATGCTTTGCTCTCCGAGCAGTAGAAGAACCTCCAACAAAGTCTTGAGGTACTTTTTCTCTTCATCTTCCTCTGGTACATTCTGGACAGTTTCAGTAATAGGCTCTGCTGGAGCTTTTTTCATTCCTAAAAAATATATATATATTTATTTTGGTTACAGTTGGAACACATTTGTTAAAATAAAATTTAAAAATTAATTATTTTATCGTACTTTTCCTTCCTCTTCTCTCTGTTTCACCGTCTTTTGTCTTCAGAGAAAATCAAACAAATCAAAAGTGAAATTAGATTAAAAACTGTTAAAAAGAATGTTTATAAATACATAAAAAAAATCCCTTCACAAATAATTCTATAACATTGTCTCCCTCTGGTGTGACAAATGTTGCACCATTCATCTTCACATAAAAAAATCTTATGTTTCGGTGTTATGTTTGGCAAATGTAAAAAAAACATTTGCAAAAAGCTGTCAAGATTTTGAGACAATTACAGATGATGAAAACATTCGACATCCACTATAAATATTAATGATTCTTTTACCCACCGTCTCTTTACCACGCTTCACCTGCCCACTCTGAGGCTGGCCTGGACCATCAAACACAGACGGGACAGCGTCAGCTTTCAACAGAGAACCTGGAGCATCCTGGAACAAAAGCACACAATGTAATCTCCATAAAGAAATTGTAGTGAATTATATCAATCTTGATAGTGAAAGTGAAGTCAATCATTTCTACAGGATGAGAAAGTTTGGAAACAAAATTTTGTAGATTAGCATGAAAATACTGAAGAAATGTGTTAACATTTATCATTATTTTAAAAGCGTACACAGTCAAGATGTTAGCAACATAAATAGAAATCTACATATGTGTAGTGTTGGATTTCACTCTAATCTGCAGCACAGCACAGAACTTACACTATCAAATGCAGATGCTTCAAAATGTTTCCCACAGAGTCTGTAGTATTTGTAGAGCTGCTCTGCTGATTTCTCTTTCAGGTCATCCCTCTGGCACTGCTCAACCCACTTCTGCGATCTAAAGAACAAACCAGCTTTACATATTAAAGAGTTCCTACAAATTCAAATTCAAAAACACTTTACTGATCCCGATGTTAGATTAAACAGAAACAATTTTGCATCTTTTTGCTGAAGGAAATTGTCAGACATCTTCCTCCTTTTTGGTCCATTTTTAACTAAATGCACAAAAGTTCACTGAATTTACTGCGGATATTTCTACAGATATTGGGATTTAACTGTGGAATAACAACCAAATCTTAATGGAGCTCACAACGCCACACAACTTACATGCGGCGGTGCATTCAGACACATTATTAGACCCGCGAAACCTGTGTTATGCTAACTGATGCACATCTTCCTGGCTACGTTCGCGTCACTTACCTGTTTGGATCTCGTGGAAACCGGAAGAGCGCCTGAAAGTCCGAAATACCGCTGGGACAGTCCAGCACGACGCACTGGTTCTGCATGGTGACTTCTTAGGAATGAAACTTAATTCGTGGACTTTTTGAAGAAAGAGGCGACTGCTAACGTTAGCTGCCAGGCTACGAAGATCTAGCCTTAGGCTAAGAAGACCTCAGACTTCCGGTTATTGCCTTCAGAATAAAATTATAAAAGCCTCTTAAAAATGAGCTTGAGTGCAGTGTGGTTCAAGAAGACCACCTAAATCATTTCAAAGTTACAAAAATTACCATTTTTGTTCATGTGAAATTAATTTAGAGCAGCTTAAGTCCAATTAGGGTAACTTTGTAGCTTGGGGTATATAATGAGGAGTATTTGGCCTCTTGGAGAGTTTATATTATGCATCCAAATGACAACAGATTTACAGCTTGATTGATCTGCTCTTAAAAGGTTTTCTTTGAACACAAAATTAGTTGTAATTGGTGTGTCTAGTATCCTCGAGGTTAAGGGTCAGAGCAGATTACTTTGGCTTGAGAGGGAGGTTACTGCCATGGTAAGCGCTTGTTAAAGGTCTGATGCATCAGATTAAAAGAACCTTGTGAAAATAAAGACCTTTAAAGGGGTATTGCATCCACTTTTACTAAGCCCACATAACTTTAGGTGGAAAATCACTCTGTAATTAATCTGCATATTTTACTTAGGAAATTAAGTCGCTAAAATAAATGAAATGTGATTTATTTATCATATTAGAATTTACACATTTCTAATTTATTAACCCTTATCTATGAAAAAAAAAGTTAATCAGAACTTACTATACGCTTTTGTTTGCAGTTCCTTTTTTTATTTTGAAGGTATGTTAACTTCCGGTTGGTCTGGACAACGTTTAGCCTACGTCAAAATTAGCGCGAGATTTGTTCGCCGCTTTCCCAAAGTACAGCAAACATGTCCTGACATGTTCCGCACATCGATTATTTATGTTGTGGTTTTCTAGTCATACTGTCGACATGTAAAAACACAGAGTCCATTGTTACACTGTGGATCACAGACGGTGATCATGGCGGCTGACCTGGAAACGTCATTTACGCACACGCCATGAAACGCGCAGCATGAAGCATGTCCTGTAAAAACTCACAATGTCATAAGTCTATCTTCCCTCTATTTCTCCCCCCACTGCCTCAGTCAGAACTGCGACACAATGGGTGTGTTCCGACCAGTACTTCTGGAATTCTATTTGGGTTCAAACATTCAAACTGCTGGAACGTGGAAAAGCCGCTCAGGCGACGTGATGACGCAGCTGTCGCTCGACAAGTTATTGGTTAGTTCCAAATTCTCGCGATACCAGCCAGCCAATCGTAAACCAACAAGCCCGAAGTCAAATGAAATCGTATCCGCGTGTTTTCCCCCAGACAGAGGCGTACTGTGAAGGATACCAGTGGCGTAAAGCTGTTTGGACAAACCGTTGCAAGGTGAGTTAAGATTTCTTGCAAGTCTGTGCGCCACGAGTTTATGGTGATGCGGGCATTTAACATGCCAAATGCTTCTGTTTTAGTCCAAAATGATAAATGCGTCAAAGTATTTCTTCCAGATTATGAATAACTCGAATCAATTAGATCGCGTCTTTGCTTTTTAGATATTAAAATAATGCTTGTGTATTTCTGCCGCTATCATTTTTAGGCCACATTATGGACTCCGTCACAGTTTCACGACGAAAACATCCCAATAACAAGGTGAGTTCGGAATAAAAGTCTTTATTTTGAAATGAAAGAGTTATCAGCTCCTGCACCCGATTTAACGCTTCTGTTCTTTTAACGTTACCAGGGAAACAAGGAGAACACCCAGCCTCCAACTGGAGCCAAATCCTTAGTTAAAACGGGCCCTACATCAGCTGTGCCATTCCGGATCAAAGCCAACAAACGAGAGGATGTCTGGAACAAAGATGATCCAATTAAGGCAAAGGGTAGGAAGCCAGCGCCTAGAGAGACTCAAAGAAAGTCGCAGAGAGATACTAAAGATGTCAAAACACAAATACTCAAACCCCCTGGCTGAAGCTCCAACACAGTCATTAAAACCTGCTCCAGGGATGTACAAAGGCAGGATTGTCCAGTCAAAAATTGGCTCCATTTGGAAGTCAAGTGATTCCTTGAGTGCAGCAGTTATGAAGCCATCAGCACCTAAACCGGAGAGCAGAAAGGTCAATGACACGGCTGTAAAGAACAGGTCCAAATCTGTAACCGAGGTGTCCAGGCAAGTGGCCAAAAGGCCAGCGCCGATGAGGTCCAAGTCGGTTTCCGACCAACCCCGTCAGGTGGGCAGGCCCCCCGTCGGCAGCTGTCGCCCTGCTACGTTCTGCTCTGCGCGGCCTCCCACCAGAACCATCACAGCCACACTACCACCTGCTACATCCAGAAGCACAACTGTGGCCGCCTCTAAACCAAGAGGTGGTCAGAACACAAAGCCCAAGATTCCAGTGACTGACAAGAAAGCCAGTAGACCTGTGATCTCAAGCACGCTGAGTCAGTACAGAGTTGCCGCAGAGACGGCAGAAGAAAAACGGTAAAGTATTCATGCAGACAGAAACAAAAATTTGTTTTACTCAACCTTATGAAACATCTCCTTTTCATGCAGAGCAAAGCTGGCTGAGTGGCTGGCCTCCAAGGGGAAGACTCTGAAAAGCCAAACCACAAAAGCAACCTAAAAAAGCCAAAGCTTGGGATCCACAGGTTCCAGAGAATGTTGACCTGGAGCCTGGCGCTCAGTGTAGAGTGGAACCCAATCCAAGCGTAGCGCGTGAAATCCCAGCGCCCTCTGCGGAAACTTGGAGTGAAGAAGGAGTAGTGCACAGAGCCCGATTCCTGTGATCAAGAACACAACACTGGATCTGCTGGACGACACCGAGGCAGATCTGTCTGAACCTCTGGGCAGAGTAGATGACGTAAGCATTTTTCTTACGAAAATTGATCAAAAAATGTTAGACCCGAGTTAGAAGGTAATCTGATCTCGTGTTTTCACGTTGACAGATTGTTGTGAACCTTTGTGACGCCCTGGAGGCCATGGCGATTCCATCCGCAAGCTCTGATGGTACGTTTTCAAGGTTACTGCAGCGAATTTAAAAATCAAGATTATGTGTAACTTTATAACAAAAACCACACAAGTTCATTTTAATAATTCTCATTTTTCTTCATTAAAATGCTGATGCACAATGCAACCACGCAGAAGAATGTAGAGATGAAGAGCAGAACGATGAACAGATCCAGGCTGAGATCAAAGTGGAATCGGAAGTGAAACAGGAGGATGTTGAGGAAAGTGAGGATGATTCAGAAGATGATAGTAATGATTATGTCATGGAAACAACACCCCAAACTAGTGCTTCAGTTATCAAATACAGCGTGAAGACGACCCCGTACTTGCAGAGGTAAGTCCAGACTTTTATATTTGCATCACTGTTTGTTTACTTCCTGTCTTCATTCTGTTGTTTTTTTTCCCCCCTTTATTCTTGAAACCATGTAGCGTGAAGAAAACGATTGAAGGCGAGGCGAGCGCATCGAGGAGAAAGAGCAACATCAAAGACCTGAAGTTTCTGACGCCAGTGCGCCGCTCCAGTCGCATCCACCATAAATCCTCCCATCTGCCCTCGATGCTCACCGATCACGATCCCTGCGTGTCGTCGCTGGCCGAGCTGGTGAAGCTGGACGACGATCCTAACGCGTACATCTACAGGAAGAACCCTGCGCTTCTGCAGGAGCTGCCGGACCAAAATGCATACTAAGTATTTAGTTCTTGTACAGAAACGTAAAGGACTTAAGCTACGGCACACTACGTAGGTGCACTTTGTTTTACTAACCTTAAGTAAGTGTATGAAACTATTTTCTACAGTTACTCAATTTTTCGGCATAAAATGACACCTAATCGATGTCCTGTTGTGTTTTAAGAGTCAGAAATCTAAACTCAGATCAGAGGATGCGAGTTCTACTAAGAGCTTGCAATGACTAAACAAAAAAGAGATTCAACACAATTCACAATCAGTCCCACTTTAATTGATCACATTATAAAAAACAAACAAAAAAAATAATCCAAAGCACTCTGAACACTGCTTTCAGTTACACACCCAATGGAAAATTATACGTCCTGATATCAGACAGGATGTTTTTACTCCAGCGTCTGGTGAAAAACAGACGTTCTTAAAATCCAAATAACCCCAAAACAACTCAAGAACCAAAATCACTTTGATGCAGTTTTCTTCCCTAAAGTATAAAAAGTACTTCTCGCAACCATCCGCCGACCCCATGGGAAGATGTTCAGTGCTGTAGGCTGAAGAGCAACGCTGCTATCTGAGGGCTTTATGTCCTTGAAAGGCCCCGGTTGTCCAGATCTTTCACCTGAAACAGAAAAGTTGAATCCCGAAAGAAGATGAGTGAATCTGACTCCAGGACTAACATTTTGATGTTGGCTGTTGTCCAGTGGATGTCCAATGTTCTGTTGTGCTGAATTGCCTGTGTACATTTTAAACTGCTGCTTTTTTGTTTGTTGTCTGAAACTGTTGTACCAATAATTTGAAGTTTGAATAAATGCATTTTACCTTCCAACCATCCCGACAGACTCACCTTGTATATCCTGACCAGCCAGTGTTCTGTAGTGTAGGCCTCCTCCAATACATCCAGCTCAAAATCCTTGTTCCCAATCTCAGCATTTCTCACTCTGTCATAACCAGGTGGCCTCTCTGCAGAGAACAGCAGAATCTGAGTGGAAACTCTGCAGCAGTGATCAAAGAGTTACTTAAGACCCAGTTTATTTTAGGTCTTAAACTATGTGTATTTGTAACAGCAGACAGATTTTCTTATAGTCCATCATTCTCATGGATGAGTGTCAATGTGCTCCACTGCAATTGTGCAGTGGCACCTGTACAACAATTGGTGCCAACAGCACACTTATTCTTATTGTAATTGTAAAAATAGTGTATGATCTAGAGAGAACAAGAAATCAAGATTAAAAAAAATAATAAATGTGCCATGTTAGGTAAGTGTTTTGAAACCTTTAAAAAAGATGCAATTATAAAAAATAAAGGTATTTTTATCAGAGTCCACCAGAGGGCGCACTGACGGCATAAATAGCCAACAGTTCCATGTGTCTAATGGACAAATTTCTACTGAAGAATAATTGAACTAAATTTTGACAATTATTCTTTGAACATTTTTTACAACAATGTCTAGAGAAATAGGTTCTCTTACAGGGTACCAAGTATTTTAATTCATATAAATAAAAAATGTTTTTTTCTCAAAGTATTTTAGCCAACAGAACAGATCATGTGGTACAGGATTACAGTTTTCCATTTACATAAAAATAAAAAATGCTAACTAAAGTGCATGAAATATAACATTTTAACCTACACCAAATATCACAACAATCATCAGACTGTATTGAGTGCAATCCCTACAGATACCACCATTTGGTTTGTGTATAACAAAAAAATTTAAAAAAGTAAGTCTAGGAGATTAACATTGGTCAACATTTTCTTCTTTGGCCTGTGACTAATCGGTTGATACTGCTGGGATGACTTACTGCCCTCTGTGTAGACCTGTCCGAAGCGATAGTAGCACATCTTGTACATGAGGCAGTTGAGCAGGACGGGTGAACCCTCGCGGTCCACTCTGAACTCTCCGGTGGGAGTGTAGTAGTCATGCTCCTTGATGTGTCTGCCAGTCTCCGTGCTGCCGCCAATGCGGACCATCCACAGAAACTTATTGATGTCTGTCATGTAAAGAGATGCTTGTATCAGACTCAACACACAGTAACTAGAGACACAAAGCTCCGACATGGAGCTTAATGGCATCTGGAGACGTACCGTCTGAGGAATAGCCAGTCAGTCCTCCGAAGATGACCAAAACGTAGCTAACGTCGAGCTCTCTCATAATCTCATAGGCTTTCTCCTCGGTGGAAGCCATGGCCTGCAGCACCGGAGACATCAGCAGTCAGCACCGAAATCCTTCAGATGAGACAAAAATCTAAAAGGTAAAACTCACCTGTCCAACCCTGGAGATGTGTGTGTTGTTCCAAGTGTTGTTGTCCACCAGAATGGTCCGGTTGGCCATGGCGGTGATCTGGTAGCCGTAATCCCACCACGACATCACTTTGGCGTCCTGAGAGAGGAGAAAAACGCTCTCCTCTAACAAACATGTTTAAAGGAACTGCAGCTCAGAGGATGAGCTGGGTCCAGACTGACCTCGGGGGTGTTGTGGCGGAGCCAGTAGTAGGCCTCTCTGAAGTCGTCAAAGATAATGCGGCTGCCGTCTCCTCCGCGGGCGGACAGGACGATGGAGGGAGAGGAGTACGCTTCGCTGGTCACCCAGGTGGAATGGAAGGTGTAGGTGATGAGGAAGAAAGCCATGACCAGGATCATCCCACTGGCCACCTGCAGGGTACAGGCATCAGAAATGCTGAGGAACAGTAACAATGATGGCAAAGCTAATTGAAACACCAGAATGTTTCTCTTTCGGCCTCAAGTGGAAAGTGCTTTAAACAGGTGGGTGCTTTCTGACTTCACCTCGTTTTTGATGGGGTAGGTGGAGTCCTGCTGCTTCTTCTTGTTCTTGTCCGGCCTGCTGACGTCCAGGTTCTTCATGTAGGTCGTTAACACCTGGGACACACCGATACCCGACAGGATGCACATCACTGGAGCCAGCACCAGCATCAGACGCACCTGGAGGCGTGAAAAGAAAACGATCCGTTCAATTCGTGCGACGTGGGGCATGTTTTTACAATATTAGAAATACTCTAAAATATCCAAACAAATAGCATTATTGAAATAAGAAATTAAGCATTTTAGTGCTTAAAATGCAGCAAACATAGCATTCCTATAAGGAAAAGCGAAAACTACACACCTTTTGAAGAGTTTGGGATCAAATATATTTACAGACAAAGGTGGGGGTTTTATATTTTAAATGCAAAATCTGTATGATTGTAAAGTTTTAGATAATCTACTGTTCTAAATGAGTTTTTTTTCCAGGAAATTACTTTTTGAGTCTGTATACTCCACTTAATGATTAATCAATTACTAATTAACTGATGATTATTTCAACAACTAATTAATCATGATTAATCATTTTATCCTTATGTTGATCTGACTCTTTAGCAAAATATTTCTTTTCTACGATCCTTTGTGAAAGATGATGTATTGTGGGAGAGTGCTAAAAGCAAACGTACCATGACGGCTGAGAAATACATGCTGGTCACTCCGTACATAATGATGAAGATCCTGGCGTCTGACAAGTTGTTAAAGCAGTAGTACAGGCCGACTGGGAAAAAAAAGGAGGGGGAAGGTAACCTGAAGGTCAATGCACAAAGAGAGAGAGAGTTCACGTTGTGATGACGGCATCCTCTGCTCCTCCTGACTCACCAGGAAACATGAAGACAAGCAGCTGGAGGTCAAAGTAGTACGAGGACCAGGTGGTGGGCTGGTGCTCTGACACCGAGGCGATGATGGGGATGTTGTTTTTAGCGTAGGAGGGGTCCAGCAGAGAGTAGAAACGGCCGGTCCAGGGAGAAATTTTACCTGACAGGAAACCAGAACAAGAAAAAATAAATAAATAAAAATCACAACTCAAATTTTTCCTGCGCAAGGGAGGCTGCAAAGGATTGATTAAGAGGCAGGCAGCATTCTGAATTTTGTAGCAAACTCAAGATTTCCGGATATCTTGAAACTTACAAATACAACTTTCAATTGATTTCAATTGCTCTTTAGAAATTTGAACAGTTTGGTTATTCCCGTCGGTTGTTTACGTTGGAAGCAGATGTGAGGTTTACAATCAGAGAGATAGAGAAATCCAGCATGTTCCAAATAAATCATCTCCCATTTCACAGACCAGCCCTCAGATAGTCCAAATGCAACGGCTTTGAAGTTGATTTGATTAACAGCTTTATTATATCAACTCCAAGGTCATAAACTTGAAATTGAGGACATCATTTCCATCCACCATTTTTTAATGCGGTACCCTAAAATTTGTATTAAAAAAGAACAATAACATATGTAAACGTTGACGGAAACGCAGTTACTGTCAGTCAAGAATGTCTTCAAGGTTGCTTACCTGTGAGCATGAGAACGGCTCCCACAGACAGCAGGATGAAGCCCACCAGAGAAATGACGCTCTTGAACAAGATCTCAAACTGCTGCGCGTTGAGTTTGCTGCGCAGATAATCCACAAAGGCGTGAATCTGGCACAACCCAAACACTCCGAAGGCGGCCATGTGCTCCGATGACTGCACCGGCTGGCGTGGGAGGGAAGACGCAACGTCACATGGAAGCCTTTCATTAAAAAAATATATATATATAGATATACATACTGCCACTGGCGATGCAGCATACCTGAAAACCGACAAAAGAGATCTGCATGGAGAGGATGGTGCCCAGGCAATAGACGGTGCAGTAAGCCACGTAAATACGGTGAGAGAATCTGCCTGTCAGCATCAGCACCAACACGTGGAGGGGGATGAGGTTGATCAGGAACACGTAGCCACCCCATGACGACACCTAAACACACACACACACACACCTCACAGTCACCGCTTTTAACTTGGAAGTTAAAAATGCCACAGCAACACCTCAGTGGACTCACCATGTAGAAGTAAGCCAGCGCACACATGGAGGACCAATAAACAGAGCCGGTCTTCACCGCTTTGATCCACATGTAGTAGGTCAGCAGCATGCAGAAGATAGCAATACCTGAATGGGGGAGGAGATGCGGACGGTATTTTAACTATAACATTGCTTTTACAAGACCGATCCAGAATCTTTCTGCAGACAGAGACCCGATAGCTGAGCGGCCACGGCAGGCCCAGTACCTTCGTTATCGTAGGAGCCGGCAACCGAACGAGAGATGTAACCAGGTACCACTGCAATCATGGCCGCCGCCAGGAGCCCAGCACCTGCATCCTACACACAAGAAGCATGCAGCTTTACAGACCAACCAAGAAGTATTTTTGAGTAAAAAAAATAAAAGAATTTTTTTAATCAGAAAGGTGCCAAAATTACATATCAGAAGAAACTGACTATTTTTGTAAACAGGGTATGAACTCAAACTTTTGCATTTCAAATTAGGAAGACTTAAAATTGATTCCGTCCGTTCCTAATGTATAAAACATATACTACGATGATATATAAATGGACAATTGCTTAAATAAAATAATATCCCACAGGGAAAAAAAAAACAGCCTTCCACTTATGAACACTGGTAGTTTCTGGATTCTTCTCTGAGAGCGTGTTCCTGCGGTGGATTTTCACCTTCAGCTCCTTGGTGAGGTGGTAGGTGACGATGGCAGTGAAGGAGGAGAAGAGGGGAGCGAGAAACACACAGACGTTTCGGATGTCTATGGTGATGTGAAAAAAGTGGAGGACGTGGTAGAGGACGGCCGACGTGACCATGAGTCCTGGACAAGGAAGAGGGAGGAAGGCGGTCAACTCATTGTGACGTACGTCTGATAAAGTTGCTTAAAAATACTTCAAAATGAAAAATAAATAATCTTGTATGAAGAAATAATTTTGAAATAAATGAAACTAAAAAAAAATGTTTCTAGGAATTTCTGATTAGTATTCTACG